TCCTTTATATTGGCCATTTCCTTCTCAGCCTCGGCACTCTTCAGAAGAGGCTTGATCTTGAAGTACAGCTTCATCCATGGCCAGTGTTTCACATTCATGAATGAGCGGATGTTGTACTGGATACTATAAATGGACTCTCTGTATGAAAAAAATGAATATTTGTTATGTTTTTCAATGTTGAACTTCTTTTTCAATGTTGTATTTGTTTTGTGATACAATAAGGAATATACCAAGAACTCAGATGAATGTAAACTGTTTTGGCAGATAATAGTTCTGACTGTTTCTATTGCCCTTTTCTTTGAATGTATGTCAGATATGGGTTTTTCAGTTGAAATTAAAACATCTCCTGTGATTAAATAATCATTTAACACCTGCAAGAAACATGTTTGATAAATTAACTCATCGCTTAAACACCACCTTTAATGTTTTTATCAGGTCATAAGTTACAGTACTTTATGAGTAGTTACGTTAATTGAAGTTAAAAGCTTGTTAAACGTAATTTGCCATTAAGTGGCACTTTTCAGAATTCTTTCATCTATTGTCAGAAAACTGTTCCTTACAAGGGCTGCTGCTCTTGAAGGCTGTCCAGGATGGAAAACTCTTCTAATGTTTCTCAGCCCAAGTTTCTCATTCTCATTCCATTTTTGTTCTTACCTTCTTTCCATCATCTTTTTGAACTCCACTCTCATGACGAAGCCACGGCACAAAGCCTGAGTGATGGTGATGAGGGCAGCCAGTTTCTCATCTCTCATCTCCTCCAGGGTACCCAGCAGGCCAGCTTTGAAGAATACCTGAAATTGAGGGGAAAGATTTAAGCATTTTGTTATCTATAAAATATGCTGTAAATACAGTATACATTTTATTAGGATATTTCTCAAGCCCTACATGATTTGTTGGAAGTCCCTAATTATAGGCAAGATTTGTGTTGGTAGGGTAGAAGTCTTACTGACATTCTTTAATGATTTTTAGTTCTCTTTACATATGGCAAGAGTAATTGTAAGATTACAATTTGTAGGAGCCCAAATCCGAAAAGGCAACAGTGATCAACACAAACAGTGCTTGTACTGCAGGTAGATTTAAATAGAAATTTTAACTTGATATCAGAGGGCAAATGACTTTTATTCAATACCCATATGAGACTTGTTTAAGAACTTTTATCTCAATGAAATATATACACAGCAGTTTTAATTAGAATATTTCTGTACATGATGTGAGTCACCCATAAATCTCAATCGCTGCATGAGTTGTTGGAGCCCCCTAACTGTTATAGCCCAGGTGTGTGTTAGTGTTAGCCTTATTGACTTTGATTTTCTCATTTTTATTTATTTAAACTTTATACATCTATTTATTCAAGCATAAACATGTAGCAAATGTGCATATGTGCCAGAGTGAAAACAGTCAAGTATTGTTCTTACCATATGTACTGTATGTAACAAACGTGCAATTGCTTCGTATTAAAATACTTGTCAACTTTGACAAAACATTTCAGGCTTATTTTGCACCTTTGTGTTATTTCCTTTAATTTTTTATACTGCTGAAGTCCTACCTTGGTGTGCCCAAATTTATATTGAGTGTGGTCAATATCAATTGATCCCAAGAGCTTCTCTGAAGCTTTCTTGCTGTCAATGAACTGACCCTCTGGGATGGCGCTGGCATTCAGAACTTTGTATCTTTCAGAAACGTAGAGAAAAGAATAGTATTGAAATTCTTCTTCCTTCCTAGGTATTTGTGTATCCATTAATCTCTAAGAATTAAATGTAAACATTTCTAAGTTAATTATGCTTTAATTTTTACGGTACCTTTGCTTGAAGTCTCCATACAGAATTCTGCTTGGGAATCCTTTTCTACAAATTCTGATACCTTCCAGCACACCATTACACCTCAGCTGGTGGATAACCAGGAAGTTCTCCATAAGACCTAAAGAAAGAATGAGATATAGTTGTTTTTAAACAGATGCTACATCTTTTGAATAAAGAAAATACCACCATATCTTGATGTAAATTTAAAATGATCTAAACATTCTGTGCTCATTACCTGGAGTCTTTGATTCATTGGGAATAAGGCAGCGCACAAAGTGAGGATGGGTGCTCCTCAAGGTGGACATGAGCTTGGCCAGGTTCTCCTGTGGAGTTTAAAGTGCACTGTTTGATTATATACTTTAGCATTTACTGTATATTAAGAGCTTCTGAAGGAGAAATGAAGATGTTTTAATCTCTCTGCTGATCTTAATTAATCTTAATTTATGTTTATGTAAATAAAAACATGCATTCCCTAGAGGATATTAAATGTAGTTATTTTTTAAAGAGGAGAAAGCTTTCAAAAAGTCCATTTTTAAAGTTGAAACCTAATTATATGTAATTTGAGCCAAATT